ACTTTTTTAAATTATTTAATGTTGTGTTTTTAACATTAATTTCTGTTTTTTTGCATTTAAAGAAAGACTTTATTTTCCTTGCAGTTGCCTCCTATTAACTCAGAATTTTTTATTAAACTTATTTTCTTATATCATTGTTCATTTTTGCACGGTATTTGATTTCTCCCCTCAGATATAATCCCCACAGTTTTCCCACCACCACAGCACCTGCAATCCATCACCACAGTCCCTTGTGTTCTTCCCTCCTGCATTTGGACCCCTCTCCCACCTACACAATATGACTCATGCCATTTGCAGCAATATGGATGGAGCTAGAAGGAATTATGCTCAGCGAAATAAGCCAGAAGGAAAATGAAAAATATCAGATGATTTCACTTATAGGAGGAATACATGGAAACCAAATAAGACATCGAGGGAAAAAAATAACAATACAATACACAACAAAACAAAAACAGATAATTATAATCAAAGACATCCTGCAGAGAAGGAGGAAGGAGAGGGATCAGAGGGAGGGAGGGAGGAGCATAGAACACTGAGGTGATGGCTCATGGGTGCATTGGTGAAGGAAACTCTATGGGGACTACTACTCTCTGGGTGGGTGGGGGGAAGCAAATATTGTTTACAAATGAACAATGGGGCCTCCCCTGGTGGCGCAGGCTGTTGAGCACAGCGCTGCGAAGCTGATCGCAGCCTCTGCAGCACAGGTTTGATCCCGACTAGGCGGGGAGCGTCCCACATGGCGCGACAGACCTCTCCTGTCTTGCCTGCTGCTCCCCTCAGCAGTGTATTTTGTCAGTCTGCCTGTTCTGTTCCTCGCACCGTCTCTGATGAATCCTCACCCTCCCGTGCATCTGGCCTGTACCCCAGTTCTTGTATAAATAAATAAATAAATCTTTAAAAAATTAAAAATAAAAATGAACAAAATGATGTGAAAAAATACATAAATTAATAAATTTTAAACAAACAAACAAAAAAAAAAAACTTGGACCGAAAAAACAAAATCTCAGAGGCAAATTACAGGATAAGAACAGACCGTGAGAACAGACATTTCCCTCTGACACAAACCCCTCTCTTGTCTTCTCTCCTAGGACACTCATCATGTGCTCAAAGGTGATGTTGCAAAGAGTGCTGATGCTGCTGTTCTTAATAGGTTCATCGATTGTTTTTATAACTTATCAAAAATCCACAAAGGTAGAGGTTTTTTTTTTTTTCAATTTGTAAGAGTTTTGTCCATTTTGACTCGAAACTTCCAGCTTTGAGTGGCCTGTCTCAAGTCAGTCCCTAATGCTCCATCCTTCCTGCTTTCCCTCCTTGTCACTCCAACTCTGCTGTTTCTTCTTCCCTTCTTCACCTTGTTTCTCAGATGGATTGTGGACACACTATTTCCATTTTCTACATTTCATTCATCCTCAACCCATTCTAATCAGGATTCCATCCCAAATGCACCACCCCAACACCTCCGCCATGACCCTTGTAAAGGCACCACTAACTTTCTCACCACTAAATCCCAGTATATATATGGCCTGACCTTGTAAAACAGTTTTCATTTTGCCTTTTCATCTATAATTTCATTTTTTCCCTCACCTCCATGTCCTATATCCTTAACCCTTTCTCCTTCTCCACTTTTTACATGATGAATTTATCTATTACACTACCTCTACTGAAGTCAAATTTGGTAGATTGTTTTACATCAATTATCTATTTTACCTTAGAGTTTCCTAGGTATTTGCTTAAAACTACAAAGGTGTTTCTTATAATTTTTTAAATGTCCTTCCTTACTGCTTTCCTCATAAGTTTCTTTTAATTTTGCATATTTTGTTTTCTTCCTTTTGTATTACTTAGATTAGCTGGTAATTACCTGTTTTGTTAATTTTTTACAAGAGAGTTTTATATTTAGTCTATTTTTCTATTTTGTTTTTTTTTTTTTTTGTTTTGTTTTTATGTCTTATTTATTTATTTATTATTTGTTTGTTTGTTTGGTTTATACATGCACTGGGTACAGTCAGAAGCGTGGGAGGGTGAGAGAATTCACCAGAGCCAGAGCGGGGAGCAGAGCAGGCAGAAGGACCGAAGGACACTGCTGAGGGGAGCAGCGGGCGGCAGGAGAGGTCTGCCGCCATGTGGGACCCTCCTCCGGTGGCCGGGGAGCAGCCGGGGATCGAACCGGCTGCAGAGGCTGCAGGCAGCTTCACAACCCAGCGCTCAACCGCTGCGCCACCGGGGAGGCCCTATTTTTCTATTTTGAATACATTGATTTTGCTTTTACTTTTCTATCAATTACCAACTCTTGCTTTTGATTTATTTATTTTTTTTATTTTTAGTTCTGTTGAATTCATTTTTGCAACACACACACATGCACACACACACATGCACTCATGCACAAACACACACATAGGAATATGTTCCAATACCTGCAGGGATGCCTGAAACTGTAGCCAGTACCAAACCATAGAGGTGCTGTTTTATCCTATACATACCTGTAATAAAGTGTAACTTATGAATTTTACAGATTAAACATGGAATACCACATAGTAATAAAATCCAACACTGTAACAATGAACTGTGAGGAATATGGGAAAGTTAAAAGTTACCTAAATGTGCTCTAAATCTCTCAAAACATCTTACGGTATGCAGAATTTTCAGAGTGTGCTGGATCATAAGAAACTGAAACCATATAAGGAAAACTGCATAATGGGGGACTACTGAACATATATGTGCACATACACAATGCTAAATATGTTTAATGCTATAAATTTCATATGATATTTGTGTGAGCTGTATCTCATACATTCTGGCATGTGTTAACTATGTCATTTTCACAACACCCTATCATTTCATTTTGAATGTTTCTTTGACTAAAGATTTATTTAGAAACTATTTTTTTCAAACTTGAGGTGGAACAGTGTTTTGAGGTTTAAATGAATTTCCTTAAATATCTGCATTAAAATCAAACCATGGTGGTTTTATTATTATTTCTATGAGTAGTTATTAAGGTATTAGTTCTAAAATATAAACAACATTTGTACAACTTTCATATATTTCTTGAAAAAGAAGATGTATTCTCTATTATAGGAAGTCGGTGTTCATTATGTATCTTCAAGAGCCACTGCACTGACTGAGCTATTTAGGTCTTTCATAAACTTACTATTTTGGACCACTAGTTATGTCTTAGACATATGATGTCTTTCTTTACTTAAATAGTTAAGAATTTCTCCACATATCCTTAAAAGTCCTATAGTTTCTACTTTGTAAATATACTGCTTAATAAATGTGATGGATGTATAAATATTAATCATTTGTGAATTAATTATCCAGAACTTTAAAATTACTTTCAAGGAAAATTAATGATTAAGATTGTTATAGTTTTTAACTCAGATATTTTAAAAATGTACTAAAAAGAGATTTCAAAATTCCCCCATCAAGATCCATGCTTACCTCCCATTTTATTTGCTGGCTGCTATTATTGGAATATATATATTATTGGAATATATATATTATTGGAATATATAAATTGGGGAACATATATATATAATTTATATGATTCAGTTGATCTGGGCTAAAGCTTGAGATTCAAATTTTTAGAAAAGACTGCAGATACTTCCAACTACAACCAATGGAATAATCACTGAATTTGAGAAGCTATATTGCACGTCTAGTGTTGAAAGTATAGGAAGGAAACTCTGAAGTTGTGATTTCTAAGTTAGAAGTTACGTTTAGGGCATTGGGGGGAAATGTGTAATTTAAAAACAACCCAGGATGAAGGAAATAGTATCAAAACAAGGGGGATGGGAATTTTATGGGGACTATAACCAAGATGCAAATGCACAGATGGTGCAAAAATGAAAAATAATGTAAAAGATATATAAAATTAAACTTAAAAAAAAACCCAGGATGAGAAAGACATTTTCTTAAACAGCAAGAGCTGAAAGAAAGGAAGTTCAACTCTTGAAGATGAAAAGAGTTCCTCTAAAACAGAGTGCAAGAGAAGGAACAAGAGAGCAAGCAGGAACAAGAGGAGCAGCAGGAACAAGAGAGTAAAATAAATGACAAAACTTGAAGCCTATCAAGTAGGGACTTAACCTTAAGAGATATGGATGGGAAGCAATGGAAGAAGCTTAGCCAGGGAAGAGACAGGAATGGAAATTTGCTTCAGAAGGACTGAAATTAGTTACAAGGAGGAAAATTAATTGGAAAATAAGCAGATCTAAAGACAGTCTTCATCCTTGAAATGACTACAGTACTCCAAGAGATAAATAATGGTAGCTTGAACTACAATACATTTGGGGCAGAAGAGATTAAAGCATAAGAAAAAGACACATAGACAAGACACACAGAGAATAAAAACATAAGAAAAAGACACATTTGGAGCAGAAGAGACTAAAAGCATAAGAAAAAGACACATAAGACACATAGCAGAAATTAGTGATACCTGAATATCAAATATATTAAAAAAGGAAAAGTAAATGTACCAGAATCAATATATTACTCAAGTATTATATCTCAATTCCATATTTTTGAATTCAATATATTTATCAATAACTACTCTGGCATTCTGTAAAATATTGAGGCTAAAGGATAAATGTTTAAATAAATTGGCTTAGTTTAAATAATACTGGCAATGATAATAAGTAAACAAATATACAAACTCAAAAAATAAAATTGACTTGACAGGTTCATGTAATAGCAGCACCCACTGCTTGTCATTTCAGGTTTCCTGGGCTCTGAACTTGGGCATCTCCGCTCATCCCTCATGCCCAACCCTACCACTGAGCACTCCAAAGTCACCGACAGAGACTGAGCTGAGAATAAAGGGGATCCTGGAGAAACTAGACCGGCTGATGCCACCCAGACCCTTCACCCACCTGAACGCCACCACCAGCGCCGCACACAGCACAGTCACCATCCTCAACCCCCGAGACTCGTACTGCAGGGGTGATCGCCTGGACGTCCTGCTGGAGGCGAGGGACCACCTGGGGCGCAGGAAAGACTATGGTAGGGACTTCCTGAGGGCCCGCATGTCCTCTCCCGGCCTCAAGGCCGGCGCCTCAGGAAAGGTGACGGATTTCAACAACGGCACCTACCTGGTCAGCTTCACCCTGTTCTGGGAGGGCCGGGTCTCCCTGTCTCTCCTACTCATCCACCCCAGCGAAGGGGTGTCAGCTCTCTGGAGGGCGAGGAACCAAGGCTATGACAAGATTATTTTCAATGGTAAATTTGTTAATGGCACCACCCATGTCTTCACTGAATGTGGCTTCACTCTAAACTCAAGCGCTGAGCTCTGCACGTACCTGGATACTCCAGATGAAAATCCCTTTTACTGTGTGAAACCTCCATATTTTCCCTGTGAAGCTCTTACTCATATGACCACCAGGAATCGAGACCTTTCTTATCTTACTGACAAGGAAAAAACGCTTTTTCACAGGTAAGCATCTGGGGATATGCACTGAGAGGGGTGCCCCATGAACTATAGTGTCCATCTCAATTACTATTGAGAAGACCCTTCAGATGCCTCTTCTATCCAAGGTCTGGTCAGGTGTGTGGTGTCTCCATGTGCCCCCATTCATGACTCCCACTGCCACGGCTGACTGTTTTACGGGAATGTTCATGCAAAAGGTCTACACAAGGTAGAACTCTAAAATATGTGCCTGTACCTCCCTATTCTTAGACCCAGTCATGTCATTTTCTTTACTACACATCTAGGTTTTATAAAATGTATTCTTTTTTGCAGGGGGCCCCAATATCAGTATTGATTTTTTCTATTATTTCTTTATATTTATTTTACATCATTGTTCAATTTTGTAGTTTGCTTTCTCATCTCAGATGTAGCTGCATAAAATTCTCAACACCAAGTCACTCATTAACCATCACCGTAGTCTCTTGTGCTCCTCCCATCCCTGTTTTAATCCCTCTCCCTCACCATCCCTTGCTGAATGTCTCTGATTTATCTTTTGCTTGCTAGTTATGTCTTTTTTTCCTCTGACCCCTTACTTGGTTCCCCTATATTCCTCCTATAAATGAAACCATCTGATATTTTTCTTTTTCCTTCTGACTTATCTCACTAAGCATAATCCTCTACAGCTCCATTCATGTTGCTGCAAATGGCATGATTTTATCTTTTTTGATTGCTGAGTAGTATTCTATTGTGTGTATATACCACATCTTCTTGATCCAGTCAATTGTTTTTGGGCATTTAGGTTGTTTCCATATTTAAGCTATTATAATAAGATGAATTTTATGGGAAAGTATCATTCTGTGTTGCACAAAAAAAAAAAAGATTCCTTGAGAAGTGTGCAAAACATCCGTACCATATTTCTACACCATATTCATACACTGTACATCCTGTCTTTTAAATATTGCTTATGGCTCTACCATTTTTCTCTATAGCTAGTGTTGGTATGTGAGCTGACATCATCATCATCTCATCCAGATTACCTGTAAGAGATCCCCACCTGCTAATCACCTTCTCTAATCCATTACCTACTCTGTTGCCTGAGAGGTTGTTCCAAAAAGCCAACTTCTTTGGTCATTGCCATTTGACCTCAAGATCATATACTCCTTAGTGCATACTGCTCAGGTTGGAGGAGTCCTTCCTATTTCTCAGAGAGTGATTCGGTGACTCCTAAAGATCCACATACTAATGTGCGTGCATATTTATCCCATCGTCATGTATCAACATTGCCTTTCTCTCCTTGTTCACAAACTGCTCCTCATGTCTTGGTCTCCCAGTTCTCCACTAAGGTAGAAAATACTTTATGGCTTAAAATGAACTGTGATGGGGCCTCCCCTGTGGCGCAGCGGTTGAGCGCTGGGTTGCGAAGCTGCCCGCAGCTTCTGCGACCGCCAGTTCAATGCCCGGCTGCCGGAGGAGGGTCCCACATGGCGCACAGATCTCTCCTACCTCCCACTCCTCCCTGAGCAGTGTACTTCGGTCCTTCTGCCTGCTCTGCTCCCCGCTCTGGCTCTGGTGAATTCTCTCACCCTCCCGCGCTTCTGACTGTACCCAGTGCTTGCATAAATAAATAAATAAATAAATAAATCTTAAAAAAAAAAAAAAAAAGAGTGATTGTATGTCACCACAACTCCTAAAACCTGCTGGAAAATTCCTGAATCCATCTATCAGTTCTAGATACCTTTGCTCATTTACTAATTTTCTATAGACTTGGGGGCTCTGTCCATTACCCGTCCCCTTTCCATTCTACTAGTATCCATTTTTTCCTTGAGGATTTGATTTTCTTAAATTTGGTAACAAAGAAGAATCCTAGATTCTCAACAACCTCTTTGCTAGCAGTTTCCAAAGTCAAGCGTGCAGTGTCTCCCTCTTACTCTCTTAAAAAATATATGCTAAGAAAAATAGTCACTACCAGTATGGGAAAACAATATGTATTCCAGAATCTTACTTAGTTAATCAAGTTTTTGTCTCCTGATCCGTAGTCTGTGAATTCCTACAGAAAGAGGAAAAAGCACAGTTAGGTTTTGGTATTTTCCCCTTATGATGTCTGATAGTGTAGGTCAACAAATCGCTTCCTACCTAACCATCTCTATACCTAATCCCAGAAAGGATGAACATGTGCTAATCCCTTTCCTTCTTTGGACTGAAACTGAAGATTCAACATATCAGAGAATGGGATGCCAAGTGTATCTGTTTACCTGGCACCTGGGTCCCCAGTCCTTCTGCCTGGCACGTGATTAGCAGGATTGAAATGAAGAACAAGAGAAAAGGAAGAAGAGTGTCAGGTAGTCTTTTCTCAACTAGAGGAAAAAATGTAATGGTCTGAACACTACTTCCTGTTGGCCACTTGATAGATTTAGTGAGACAGCAGTGGATCAAGCAATTGCACTGTCTTCCAGCATATAGCTAACAATCATTGGAATGCAACTTTCTAGTGGAAACTGAAGGTAAACATTGCAGGATTCATGGATAAATTATTAGGAATCTTGTCAAAAGAGGTCTTTCTGCCATGCTAAGGAGACATAACTCCTTAGATAATGAAAGAGGAGATAATAGATGGAATTAAAAATTAATGCTGTTGCATTTGCAGATGGAAAGACTTTTCTGGAAGTAATGTTGACAGCGTGATCAATTCAAGTCTCAGAGCATCCAAGACAAATACATGAACTTGAATGAATGATGCAGAAGCAGCAAGAGATGAGAACTTGCAAGTTATAAATACTTTCAATCTAAAATTCCAGACCACACTGATTGTGTGTGGTATGTGAGGAGAACTTCCTTGGACTGGAAATACATTTGGAGAACAGATAGTCTTCCAGAATCCTCATTTATATACAGTACCCTTCATAAACAAAATTTACAACAATCAAATATTCAGTTGTAAAAAAAGTATCCTTCCTTCACCAATAGACATTTTCTATTATCTGTATTGTAGGGAGAAATATCAAACTAATTTATTGCCCTGTTTTTTGAAGGTCCAACGTGGGAGTTGAAATAATAAAACATCTTAAACACATTGATGTCTCTCAATGTAACAGTAAGTAGCTCTATCCTATGGTAGGTGGTGTTTGATGCCTGGCTTGGAAATTTTAAGAAATGAGGAATATATAGTATTATCCTAGCAGAGGAATATACCAGTATATATCAGAGGAAAATATCAGTATTATCCTAGCCATCATCACTTTCCAGGAGTACAGTTCCTAGTAGATGTGCTCCGTCTGTGACAACCCTCTGATCACTCAAACAAAAGCCTCTTGACAGGTCTAAGCATCTAGCTATCCAGACAGGCCTAGCTCTATTTCTGAATCTAGGGAGAGGGTGCTTAGGCTCAAGTATCTATGTTATTTATTCTATCTGCAAATCCCCTGGGTGAAACTAGAATTCAACAGCTTTAATTACTCACAGAATTATTTAGGGATTCTTCTTTTGAATGCAAAACTCAAACTCAAACTTATTTTTAAAACAACCAAAAGATCCATACCAGAATATTTTAGAAATTTATATGAAAATAGGACAATCTAACTTACTGCCTTACTAAGCATAGACTTGTCTAGGGAAGCCATAGCAGAAAAATAAGAATGTGGGATACCAACATGTTCCTTTATAAACATATACTATATATATAATATATACTATTATATATTATGTACTATGTATTGTATGTAGTAGTATCATATATATTATATATTGAATATTTTATATATTATATGGTATATATTATATCATATATACTATATGCTATATTATATATAATATATAGTATATATATTATATATATAGACAGGAAAGATGTTATAAACAGAGCTTGAAATCATTTTCTTGAATCAATCTGTCTCTTTGAAATCCAAGATAAGTGACACCAGAGACACCTACTAAGAACTGTATTGGGTCCTTGGGCATTTCATTCCCACCCCAGCTATTGTAGCCCCAGTGACATTTCTAACAGCATCAAGAATTAATATTACATTCTAATATTTAGTTGATGTACTTAACAATTTTGATGAAGTTTCCATTTTGCTAAATGCTCTTTAGTAGCAGACAAAAATTTCCTTATGAAAGAGTAACATTTATAAGATCTTAACATTAAAATTGACTTCTATAAGCCTGATTTTACCAACATTTATTATGAGATTTACTTGAAGTGATGACCTAGTTTCTAATATTCATTCATCCAGCAAATGTTTATTGAGGTGCTATTAGATATTAGGCATTATGAGAAAATGGAGAAAAATGAATATTCAGCAAGTTTACACTTTTTTCAATCAAAGTAACAGAAAAACTAAAAATTATTATCAAAACTAAAAGTCACAAATACTTGGAGATTAAATAGCATGCTAGTGAATAGTCAATGGATCAAAGAACAAATCGAAACATAAATCAGAAATTACTTTGACACAAACAAAAGTGGAAATACTACATACTGAAGTTTATGGGATGCTGCAAAAGCAATTCTACAAGGAAACTTCATAACAATAAATTCTTACCTCAAGAAGTAAAAAAAAAAAGCTCACATAAAAAACTTAACTTTACATCTTAAGAAACAAGGAAAAGAGGGCCTCCCCTGGTGGCACAGGCGGTTGCGTGTTGTGCTGTGAAGCTATCCGCAGCCTCTGCAGCACTGGTTCCATCCCCGCCAGCTGACGAGGGTCCCACATGGCGCAGCAGACCTCTCCTATCTCGCCCACTGCTCCCCTCAGTAGTGTATTTCCTCAGTCTGCCTGTTCTGCTCCCCCCTCTGGCTCTGGTAAATCCTCTCAACCTCCCACACATCTGGCCTGTATCCTGGTTCTTGTATAAATAAATTAATTAATTTTAAAAAAAGAAACAAGGAAAAGAGATCACAATAGAATGGAATGAAAAAGAGACTAGAAACAATATAGAAAAGATCAAAATAAACAAAATTTACAAGCCTTCACATAAACTCAACAGAAACAAAAAAGAGAGTGAGAACTTAAGGCAATAAAATATGAATGAGAGAGGACATGTTATAGCTGATTCCACAGAAACATCTTAAGAGAATATCATATACCAGGAATCAGGACTATCTCAAAAAAATAGATAAATTCTTAGAGATATACAACCTTCCAAGACTGAATTGGGAAAAAACAGAATCTCTGAACACATCAATTACTACTTAAGAGATTTACTCAATAAGCAAAAACCTCCCCCCAAAATAAAATGAAACTCCAAGAAGAGATAAAGGCACTATGATCCTTGACATAACTTTTGGCAATATTTATTTATTTATATTTATTTTTAAAATTTATTTATTTATCCATACAAGCACTGGGTACAGTCAGAAGTGCGGGAGGGTGAGAGAATTCACCAGAGCCAGAGCGGGGAGCAGAACAGGCAGACTGATGAAATACACTGCTGAGGGGAGCAGCGGGTGCGGCAGGAGAGGTCTGTCACGTGGCATGGGACCCTCACCTGGCGGCCGGGGATCGAACCGGCGCTGCAGAGGCTGCGGGCAGCTTTGCAGCCCAGCACTCAACCGCTGCGCCACCAAGGGAGGCCCTTGGCAATATTTTTTTAATCTGACACCAAAACCAAAAGCATATGAGCAAAAAATGAATGAGTGAGATACATAAAATAAAAAAAAAAAAGTAACCACTTGCCTTCCTCTTGAATTTCTTCCCTTCCAAGAAATGTCTTATCAGAGGAATATATCAGTATTATCCTAGCAATCATTGTTTTCCAGAGCACATCCTAGTAGATGTGCTCTGTCTGTGACAACCCTCTGATCACTCAAGCAAAAGCCTCTTGACAGGTCTAAGCATCTAGCTATCCAGACAGGCCTAGCTCTATGTCTGAATCTAGGGAGAGGTAATGGTAATGGTAAGAGGTAATATAATGATAAGAGGTGAAGAGCTGTGTTAGACCATGAGTTTTAATTCATATAATAAGAATAGCAACTTGATTATAGTGATGGAATCCTGAGTGTAGGCACATGTTCAAACTCAGTAAACTATAAACATTAAATATGAGCAGGTATACCAATACTTCAATGAGACATAAAAAAAGAATATAGTTAAATTAAGCACAACCTTGTACCACCACCACCCCACAAAAAGAGACTATCAAACAGTAATATAGAAAGGACTGGAAAACTGAAACCTTGCAGCATCTTATTAACCTTGGACTGATCCCTCCAGGACTATTATGTAAGGGATAATTTCCTTAAATTTTAAAGTCATTATTATTTGCTTCCTATAAATTACAGAATAAAATTATCAATGCTGATGTGCTGATGTCACAAAACCTAAATAGGAAGGGAAGACTAGAGGTGGGGATATGGCATCATGACTGACAAAGTGACATGAGCAAGTGATGGTCTTCCTTATGCCGCAGTGGAACATTGGGTGCATGCCACCTGTGACGCCTTGGGAAGGCGGACATGTGCCAACAGAGCCTGCACTCCTCATCATTATTGCTGGAAGTTTTCAGATGATTGCTTTGTGCTAACTGCTATGTGCCAATTCTAGAAACTTCCTATTAAAAATGTTACTTCAATATAGGAGGACTATAGGGGAACCAAACAAGACATCTGGGGGGGAAATAATAACAGTACAAAACACAACACAACAAAACAAAAACAGACAATTATAAATCAGAGACATCCTGCAGGGGAGGAAGCAGGAGAGGAATCAGAGGGAGGGAGGGAGGAGCAGAGGGGACTGGGTGATGGTGCACGGGTGCATTGGTGAAGGAAATTCTATGGGGACTACACCTGGGTGGGAGGGAAGCAAACATTATTTAAAAATGAACAATGATGGAAAAAATAAAGAAAGAGAAGGAAGGAAGGAAGGAAGGAAGATTAAAACAAAAATTTAAAAACAATGTCGCTTCAAGCTAGGTATTTAATATTCTTCATATTTTTTAATAAATATTTTATTTTATATAATCCCTACATCATTATTCATTTTTGCATAATGTATGTATTTTCATTTTGGTTATATTCCCCATACAGTTCCCACCCCCTTTTTCTGACCCTAATCCCTCTTCTCCTCCCCCCGCCCCCACTGTATATATCTCTGGTCTGTAGTTGCTTGTTGATTTTGATATTTACTTTATTGCAATTAGTCTTTTTCCTGGTCTCTTATCTAGGTTTTCTAAATTCCTGCTATGAGTGAGACCATCTGGTATTTTTCTTTTTTTTCTGGCTTATTTCGCTGAGCATGATCCCTTCCAGCTTCCTCCATGTTGCTGCAAATTGCATGAGTTTATCTTTTTTGATTGCTGAGTAATATTCCATTGTGTATATATACCACATCTTCTTTATGTTGACAGATTATATTGTTAGGCCTCTTTTACAAAATGAAAATATATATATTTTTTTAATTTTGGAAAAACAAGCTTATTTCTTCTTTAATGGAACAAAGAGCTGATTTGATGCAAGGACACCAAGGGATAGGCCACTGGTATTCAGGTTAGAGACAAATTCCTACATCACCAGAGAATCAGTCGGGTAACAGAGAAATGATGGAACATCAAGACTTAGCTGATGGCCAGATTTGGCAGAAATTCACTGGGAGGACTCAGATTGACTCAAAATATCTCAAAAGAAAGAACAGAAGTACCTAAAACAAAGTTGAGGATCAAAGCAGAGTACTAGGAAGGGTAGCGATCAGGAAACAGGAGTGAGAGAGAGAGACCAAGGGAAGACAGGACAAAGAAGACTGGATCTTTAACTTAACCAATAAACTCACCACAAGTATCTCTATTGCCAGGAAGTGAAAAGATAAAAGAAAAATGCCACGTTGGAATGGACAGTCCTGTCCCTGCTGGTTATACTTTACAAGGAAAGTGGGTAACAACATTTTGCAACCAGACTCAGTTTGATACAGCAAAGAAAATTGACTGCTTGAAAGGAAAACTCATTTACCTGCTGGGAGACTCGACTCTGCGTCAGTGGATCAAGTACTTACCCAATGTTGTTAAATGTATGTAATGAGTTCATATTCTTTTAGAAATTCAGGCTGAATTTGACATACATTCAATGACATCTCTATCCTGTCACTTTGACTGTTTTGATTCTTACTTCATTTAACTTTAAAAGATATGAGTCTTTTAATCTACAATATATTCAATTTACTTTTTCATAAGAAATTCCAATGAATTCCTCTTTATAAATTCCAATACCTGGGCCTCCCTGGTGGCGCAATGGGTTAAGACACAACCTATGCAGCTATCCACAGCCACTGCAGCAGCACGAGTTTGATCCCCGGCCAGGGAGGTGACCCACATAATGCAGCAGACCTCTCCTGACTCACCTGCTGCTCCCCTCAGCAGTGTATTTCAGTAAACGTGCCTCTTCTGCTCTCCAATCTGTCTCTGGTGAATCTTCTCACCCTCCATACCTCTGGCCTGTACCACAGTTCTTGTATGCATTAATAAGTAAATCTTTAAAAAATATTCCAATGACTACTGTACATTTTGATTGATATTTCACACATGGTATTAACAGGCACTCTACCCTAGAGGTAGGACTAGACCACACAAAAATAATACAGATGGGTGAGAATTTCAAATGATTGAGTATTCTTATGAAAAATGTTAATCCTTACCTTCTCATTAAAAGATTTCTTTTTTTCATCAGCACTAAAATTTTTTGATCTTCATGGAACTGGAGTATTTAAGAAACATTTGCTTCTGGATGCAGAAAGACACATTCAGATTCAGTGGAAAAAACACAGCTATCCTTTTGTGACTGTTCAACTCTACTCTGTGAAGGATGAGGCTTATATTCCTCAGGAAATTGACCAGATACCAGGTGACAAAAATACAGCCATTGTCATCACGATTGGCCAGCACTTCAGACCCTTCCCCATTGAAATTTTCATTCGAAGGGTCATCAATATCCGAAAGGCGATTGAACGACTGTTTCTAAGAAGCCCAGCCACTAAAGTGATCATTAAGACAGAAAATATAAGGGAGATGCACATAGAGCCAGAGAGGTTTGGCGATTCCCTGGGTTACATTCAACATCTTATCATGAAGGACATTTTAAAAGATCTCAAAGTGGGAGTCATTGATGCCTGGGACATGACCATTGCATGGGACAGCAAAATTATCCACCCGCCTGATCCTGTGATTGAAAATCAGATTAATATGTTCTTAAACTATATTTGCTAAAGCATAATATGCCAAATCTCCAGGGAAATATTCATAAGTAGCTCCATTTTTATTGTCAGAGAAGTTTTACTTATTTAATTTTTTAAAAGATTTATTTATTTATGCATATAAGAACTGGGGTACAGGCCAGAGGTGTGGAGGCTGAGAGGATTCACCAGAGACAGAGTCAAGTTTCCCATACAAATATCAAAATGAAGGTGCTTTGGAGATAAAAGAGGACAGTTAAGTATAGGAGCAATGTCTGGAATAGTTTCAATCAGAAGTCATTGGGGTCCACCCACTATGGAAAGCTGTCTGGAGGTTCCTCAGTCTACTAAAAATGGAACTACCATATGACCCAGCAATTCCACTCCTAGGGATCTACCCAAAGGACATAAAAACAGTGATTCAAAAGACCACCTGTACCCCTATGTTTATTGCAGCACTTTTTACAATAGGTAAAACCTGGAATCAGCCTGAATGCCCCAAAATAGATGACTGGATCAAGAAGATGTGGTATATATACTCAATGGAATATTATTCAGCAATCAAAAAACATAAACTCATGCCATTCACAGCAACATGGATGGAGCTAGAAGGAATTGTGCTCAGTGAAATTAGCCAAAAGGAAAAAGAAAAATATCGGATGGTTTCACTTCTAGCAGGAATATAGGGAAACCAAATAAGACATCAGTGTAAAAAAAATAATAACAGTACAAAGCACAACAAAACAAAAACAATTATAAATCAGAGACATCCTGCAGGGGAGGAGGTGGGAGGAGGTGAGAGGGAGGGAGGGAGGAGCACAGGGGACTGAGGTGATGGTGCACAGGTGCCTTGGGGAAGGAAATTCTATGGGGACTCAATCTGAGGGGGTGGGGGGAAGCAAATATTGTCAAAAAAATTAAAAAATTATAAATGTTAAAATAAAGAATAAACAAATAAATAAAAGCAAAATAATAAAATAATAAAAATAAATAATAAATACAAATAAAAAATAATTTAAAAAATAATAAAGTGATTACTCATATATAGGTATTAAAAAAATAAAGGTAGGATTTTCTTCTTGGAATACTCCATGTGCTTCCTTGGCTATCTGGGTATAAAGCAGAGCAGCAATCCACTGTTACCCGGGTGGTGGACTGAGCCAGTCCTAAGGATTTTATGCCTCGGCAGACCCTGGAGGAGCAAGGTTGATGTTCCCGAGACAGCCGTTGGCCCCTGCCCCTGGTCTCAAAGCTTCTCAGAGGTGTTGATGCAGCACTTGGTAAGGGAGAGGGCAGCACAGTGAAGATGGTACCAACCAGCTTATACATCCAACCTAAAGGTTTATACCAGAGTATAGAATGTGTGGGTTCCATCACTGCCTCCTAACAGGGTACAGCTGGCCTCCCAGGAGGTTCGAGGCTTCCAGGTACTTATACACCTTGTGATTCCAGGCCCTAATTGCCCTGATATTGTTCAGCATCACTCTAATCCACAGTCTGTCTCTCCTCCTGGCATTCATGTGGCAATGACAAAGAAGAGAACTCTCAGCAGGAGAGCTGCAGGAGAGAAGCCCCAGTGGCATGGCTGGGGGATCTGCCAGGGCAGTGTCAGAACCCACACATGGTCCTGCATGCCACTTTGGTGCCAGCTCCTTTCCTGCCCAACACTCCTTTTCCTTCTGTTCCTGCTCCCCAACTCTTGATTTTCTGTTCACCTCCTTCCTTCCTTAAGAGAGATGCCTTCCATGAGAAAGCACAGGATGACCCCAGCACTGTCCTTGGAACATTTATATTCACCCCTAGTTCCTAGCACGGGGTGAGGTTCATAGTAGCACCCGGTTACTATATATCAGACAAATGAGGCCGCATCTCTATAAATCCAAACAAAGCATGAGAGGTGGGATACATACAAAAAGAACACTGCATATTAATAACTAATCAAGTGGGCAAATCATCTGTAAACCAAGAGGAGGAAGATAATATAAAACATGAGTGACAGGGAGGAGAGGAATAAGTCCCTTCATCTAGGAAGGGGTCACGGATAAAATTCTGTGTTTACAGTGAGAATAACTGCTGACATTTCTTTACACCTACTACTTTGTGGGTAAGGAGGGAGGGGCATGAAGCCTAGTTTACAAAATAGGGAAGGAAGAAATCATCTATGAATCAAGTAGCCTGAGTCTTCCAGGATATTTATATGCAGCTACTAATTACCTTGTCTTCTATTCCCCTCCTTTTTGATCCTGCAATATAGTACATGCTGAGAACCTAAAAGGTCCCAACGAAGAAAGAAGCCCTTGGAGCAACCGTCAGGAAAAAGGAGGCTCTGTTCCAAGAATCATACATTCAAGCAATACTTATTTACTCAACTATTGAGATGGGGTGTGTAAACAAGGTCCCAATGCTAAACAAGGTCCTGTCTGCAAAGAAGGGTATGTAAGAGGGAATACTGGTAAGTATCAAGCTCCTGCAGGATGTGTGACAGCTGCTGTGAAAGGGTACTGGCGGAGAAACAGAGTCAGCTGCCCCAGAGTTGAGCCTTCAGAGAAAGCTTCCCAGAGAAAGTGAGATCTCAACCTAAGGGAGATTCGAGGACATCAGACGAGGGCCAGGAGTGTCACCTAGAGGGAAGGTAGGGAGAAGAGGGTTCCCGAAGAAACAGCCCCAGACCCTCCCTAGTGTGCCCTCCTGTTTACAAATGGGATGACTCATAAAATATTGCTGGCATTTATGTTAGGATGAATTGTGCAAACCATTTGTACAATTGTCAGTGTTCCATGAAGGTTAGAAAGAAAAGGTTTCCTCAATTTAGTCAATAGCATTTCACTGAGAATTCAGTCTATCCCAGGTCAGACCAAGAACCTAGCATTCAATTGCCCAGGGATGTGTTTTCGGTGAAAAGGTTATTCTAATAGGGAAAAAGTTAATATTCCCTCAGTTCACCCATAACTTTGTAACCTGAGGCTGGTGACAAAATTAACCCTATTTTGTGTCAGTTTGTGTCCCCAATTAAATTTTAAATTCTTGTGAGTAGGGACTAAGCCTAGGACAAGACAGATTCTAACATATTTGTCAAACAAATGGATAATTGTTGACTACATTTTAAAGAAGTATCACGGTTTCTGAAATGTCTACAAGTTTTTTTTTAAATGCCAGTCTCCTCCCCGTGTGACTTAGCTGGATGTTGGGGGATGAGAGTGACTATGGAATGGAAAATCTCTTTCCAAACAAAATAGGTGCAAGAGCACCCTGAGCTGCAAAGAACAGGAGGGCTGTGCTGTACGAGTTTCGCCTGCTCAGCCTCTGCACCATCTCCAAGGGCTGTGGTCATATCAAGGAACGCACGCACGCACGCATTGCCTGCCTTTGAATCTTGACTCCTACAGCTATTAATTATCTGACCATAGACAAATTCCTTAACACATCCCTGCTTCATTTTCTAATTTACAAAGTGGAAGTAAGATAGGACCTACCTGAAAGACTTGTTTCCCTGTGTTCACTGAGTACTTAGATTCCTGGCTAAGTCCTCATCATCTCCAAAAATATTCTTCATTACCCTGAAAGAATTCAAATCCCACATACAAACTAATTCAAACCTGTCCGGTCATTTTTCTTTCTAATTACCATTGACCTTCACTTCTGAGCTATTTTGACAACCCACCTGGAGGGCCACCCCCTGGTCATCACTCTAGTGACATCGCACCCTCAATTATTGCCTTTTAGTCGTCTGTGTTTCTTAGAGTCTCACTCTCATTAAAAGACACTGAGTTCACTCACTAATTCAGGAAACGAAAATGTACGGAATGCCTTTTATGTCTCAGGCACTGCCTCCCTGTTTCTTCCATTCTCGTTCAACTTGTAAGACTCCTCCTAGCCCCATTTCCCCTTTCTTCCTCCTACCCCAGGCTCAGCAGTTACTTCACTACATTCTCCCCTAAACTCTCAAATTCATTGAACACATATTTTCTATTTGAAGTCTCAGTTTCCTCAAAGGAAAGCATATCTTAATTCTTTTTTTCAATAATTTTTTTAAAAGATTTATTTATGCATACAAGAGCTGGGGTGCAGGCCAGAAATGCAGGGCCAGAGACAGAGTGGGGAGCAGAAGAGGTGGATCTACTGAAATACACTGCTGAAGGGAGCAGCAGGTGAGACAGGAGAGGTCTGCTGTGCCGTGTGGGTTACCTCCCTGGCTGGGGGATCGAATTTGTGCTGCAGTAGCTAAGGATTGCTTCATAGAACTTAACACCTTGCGCCACCAACATGGTGCAAGTCCATGCTGTGTCTTAATTCTTAATTTGCCTCTTGGACAATTTCAGTCTTCTGAAGCTTAAAATGATAGGGATATTGTTCCACTAGATAATGTACATTACTGGAGGTTACAAATTAATTTGCATTCTTACCTCATAACACATAGCAAATAAACCCCTGGTTATTTACAGATTCAACCACTTTTTCCCTAAATCCAACTATTACAACAAACTAAGGGGATAGAGTTCCTATGAGGTATTCTTTTAAAAATGTAGACCAATTACAGCTAAACGAAAGTGGCAAAATCTTGCAAGCAGAATATGACAGTTTCTGAATCCATACAACTATAGCACTCATCTAAAGCAAAGCAAAACTTTGGAAATTATGATTGGAAAATAAAATACAAATATTATAAGCTGTGACAATGTAGAAATGTTGTAAGTAAAATTTGGAGGACAGGCAAGAAGATTTCCTGTAGGGTGGTATTAAAAGATACTTTTTTAGAGCTAATAAGTAATATATGCTTATATATTCATATATATAAACAGATGTGTGAAAAATATATTTGCTTTAATAAACAAGTTATATATAACCAATATATATAACGTATCACATACTATATATAATTATATATAATACATACTAGATATTATAATATAGTATTGGTATACTGTACTATAGTATACATACACACACACTATATATACTACATTGTATACACACTATATATACTATATTATATATACACCAGATAACACATATGCTATGCATAACTATAATATA